TCGTCTACTATAAATTAAACATCATTAATGACATGTTAGTTTTATAATTTTATATGTTTGTTTGTAAATTAAATAATTAAATATTCACATATGGGTTCCAGGCTCGATATTTGGAGCCTAGTAGCACTAATTTATCCTGATTTCTTCTATGTGTTAGTTTTATTATTTTACATGTTAGCTTGTAAATTAAATAATTATTTTTTATAAATAAATATTCACATATGGGTTTCGAGCTCAATATTTGGAGCTTAGTAGCACCAATTTATCATGAATTCTTCTATGTGTTAGTTATGTTATAATTTTATATGTTAGTTTGTAAATTAAATAATTAATTTTATAATTAAATATTTACAAATAAGTTCCAAGCTCGATATTTGGAGCCCAGTAGTACCAATTTATTCTGAATTCTTCTATTTGTTAGATTTATTATTTTACATGTTAGTTTGTAAATTAAATAATTAATTTTTATAATTAAATATTCACAAATGGGTTCCAAGCTCGATATTTAGAGCCTAGTAGCACTAATCTATCCTGAATTCTTCTATTAGTTAGTTTTATTATTTTACATATTAGTTTTATAATTTTACATGTTTGTTTATAAATTAAATAATTATTTTTTATAATTATACAATATTTAATTATTAAATATTTATATATGGGTTCCAGGCTTTATATTTGCGGCCGAGTAGCACCAAATATATGTTGACTACAATTGGACAGAGTTTGTGTTTGATCTATCAGTTATTTTGATGTATTTTTTAGTATAAGAGATACTTAAACTACAGGGAAACTACGCTAAAAGGAACTACATTTTACTACGTTAAAAGACGCTATATTATACTACGTTAAAAGGCACTATATTACTAGTCTTTAAGCAAATAAATAATTTAAACCAGATAAAACACAACAAATACATTGTAATCACAAAAATACATAAAAAATAGTAATAGTAATTTATTAACATTTTTATTAACAAATAATAATGATTTCACAATTTCTACATATTTTTTTACAACAATAATATTTTAGTCCGAATAAAAATAGTATACCAATTTAATCGCAAAAAAAAAATACAAAACAACATACAACACATTCAAAACAACTAATATGCATTATTTATACGTGTTTGGACGTAAACTAAATCGAAATACCTCGATTTATATTTTTCGAAAAGTTGAAGATTTGAAAATTTTGACTCCGAAACAAGCAACCCACAACAATAGAAGGCTTGGTTAGGATGTGANAGAGGGCAGTGTGGGTGGATGGTGCAGAAAAACAAAAGAACATAAAATTGAAAATACAAAAAGAAAAAGTAAAATTGGGGCAACTAAATAAATTTTTCTATAAGTTGGGTTGAGATACTTTTTATTTTGGGTGAGTTTAATGGGTTGTATTTGGGCTGCTTAATGGGTCAGAACGGGCTATAAAATATGGGAAATTTTCGTTCCTATACCATATAGGAAACTATATTACCAAATATGTTCATAGTTTGCATATTACCCCTCATGCTAATAGTATTCCTACAAAATATAGACAATGCATTAAATAAGGAATCATTGTAGTTGTAGGATTCCTTATTTAGGCGCGCTAAAATTGGGGAATTAAATATTCTTAAAGATCTTCCACAAACGCAGATCATGCACGTTCCATAATTATCGTCAGCTTCACTCTGATCTTCCACAACGCAGAACAAGATTTTTCATACTCTGTTTTTGCGATAGACTCTGTTTCTAGAATTCTCTCTACATCTCTCTCTATCTCTCAATTTCAAATTTCAGTAATACAAAGCAAATGAAAAGAGAGAAGCAATTCCACCATTGACAGGCATTAAAAACCTTGAAAGCTTTGAATTCAAATTTGGGTTTTCAAAAATCATTATTTGCTTGGATTGGGTGTTGTTGAAAATAATCAGGAATATGGTTTGGAGTTTATATCTCAATTTTAAGGAGTTTTGGTGAAGATTAGACTTGATTTTGACTGAATTTTAGAAGAAGAAGAAGAAGAAGACATGACATACATTATATTGCAGAAATTGTAGATAAATTGTAGACTGTTGTTTATTTATTTTTCTTTTATTCATTTACCTATTGTATGAAAGTTGAACAACATTGTATAAAAATTGTATTAAAGTGGATGATTTAGTACTGTTTTGGACAAAAATATTTATACAAAATGTGAAACATACATTTCAGGGGAAGCATGTTGAGTCCAAATATGTACCCAGTTTGTAGATATTTTGTAGATAAATTGTAGATTATTTGTATTCTGATTGTAGATGCTTTATTTTCTGTTTTCACAAATAAAAAACAATTAAAACTTCTACAAATCTTCTGAAAAAACGCAATTATGTCAAAAATTCCAATTATGCTACAACTGAATAGGAATTGGGATATTAAAATTCAATGTACCCAGTTTGTAGATATTTTATAGATAAATTGTAGATTATTTGTATTTTGATTGTAGATGCTTTGTTTTCTGTTTTCACAAATAAAAAACGACTAAAACTTCTACAAATTTTCTGCAAAAAACGCAATTATGTCGAAAATCTCAATTATGCTACAATTGAATGGGAATTGGGATATTAAAATTCAATGTACCCAGTTTGTAGATATTTTATCGACAAATTGTAGATTATTTGTATTCCGATTGTAGATGCTTTGTTTTCCGTTTTCACAAATAAAAAATGACTAAAACTTCTACAAATCTTCTGCAAAAAACGTAATTATGTCGAAAATCCCGATTATGCTACAATTTTGTGATTCTCCTATATGCTCTTGTTATTCCTTACAAAACTGCTATGCAAAATATGGAATCCAAAAAAATATGATGAAGGGATAGATCTTCCTAAGAAATTTTGTAGATAATTTGTAGAAACATTGAAATTCTGTATTTTCATATTAATTTTTCAAATGATATGTAATTTTGTTATAGATTAAATATTGAAAACAAGCCATTGTGAGTCGTATTTGACTCATTCCTCACATTCAACCTATTCTACAAATTCACGTCTCTTTAAATACAATACAACCATACTTTCTTGAATTTAAAGGTATAGCAATATATATAACTTAAAAAATATTTCTCCTCTGTACAAGTTAGCTCTAAAACAGACGAAGTTGAATAACAAGCTCTCATCAAAACTTTTAACACAAAAACACAAAGCTCAAAAATAAATAAACAACATTCTATAATTTTTCTACAATTTCTGCAATATAATGTATGTCTTCTTCTTCTTCTTCTTCTTCTCCTTCTTCTCCTCCTTCTCCTTCTCCTCCTCCTCCTTCTCCTTCTCCTTCTCCTCCTCCTTCTTCTTCTTCTCCTTCTTCTTCTTCTCCTTCTTCTTCTGCTTCTTCTCTTGCTCCTTCTTCTGCTCCTTCTTCTCCTCCTCCTTCTTCTCCTCCTCCTCCTCCTTCTTTTCCTCCTTCTTCTGCTTCTTCTTCTCATTCTTCTCCTCATTCTTCTTCTCCTTCTTCTCCTTCTTCTTCTGCTTCTCCTCCTCCTCCTTCTTCTCCTTCTTCTTCTCCTTCTCCTCCTCCTCCTCCTCCTTCTCTTCTCCTTCTTTTTTTTTCTTCTTCTTCTTCTTCTTCTTCTTCTCCTCCTCCTCCTCCTTCTCCTCATCCTTCTTCTCCTCCTTCTTCTCCTTCTCCTTCTCCTCCTTCTTCTCCTCCTTCTTCCCCTCCTCCTTCTCCTCTTTCTTCTTCTTCTTCTTCTTCTTTTTCTTTTTCGAATTTCAATCTGAAATTCAGCAAAAACCAAGTCTAATCTTCACCAAAACCCCTCAAAATTGAGATATAAACTCCAAACCATATTCCCAATTATTTACAACAACACCCAATCCAAAAATATACCACCTGACATTTGAATGATTTAATGCCACCGTCTCAGTCACAACTCGTGCAACACGAATTGCCGATGGGGTTCCACCTCTAAACGTATATTTAAATCTTGATGTGTCCCCAGAAATGCAAATCGGAGGTAAAGAATCATTTTCTGTAGTATTATTTGTGTAATTGGATGACATTTTTTCAAGAAAAACACAACCTCTCATTTTTGAACCAGCCTTCCACCACATTTTAACTAATTCTTTCCTAGTAGATCATGCTTTCTCGTTAGATGCAATACCAAATACAATATGTTCAAGATTTGTATCTGATAATAATGTTGAATCATTTTGAAGAGAAACTGACTTGTGGAGTAATTTGGTGTAATTACACTGTGGTGATACGTGGGTAAGGGCGTGGGTTTAGGAGAGAGAAACGTGAGGGTGAGGATATGGAGGAATACACAGTACAATAAATTAAGGAGTGATATAAGGTACAATTAATGTACAGTTAAAACATCTTATGGTATAGAATTGGTAATTAGGTATACTAAATGTAATTATATCAAATCTTAAACATTGAGGGTAATATTGTTCCTATATGACATAAGAATGTAAAAATTCCATAAAATATAATGGGTTAACTTGGACTCAGCCCAAATTGACCCATGAGTTAAAATGTTTGTAACCCAAGCGGCTCAAATTACCACCCCTATATGAGGCATATCATTTACTCCTACCTTTGTATTCTTAAATCATGCTTGCATGACGACAAAGAACTCTTACAAAGTAAAGTTTGGGGAAGTTAATGTGTAATATACTTTATTCCTACCTTGAAATAATAGAGATACTATTTTAGATAGATCCTCGATCCGAAAAAAAAAAAAAAAGAAAGATTGTAACAACAAACAGTAACCCAGCAAATTAGACATGCATGATTTTTCTTGTAACATTCTATACCATTCAGAGTATCTCCATATCTTCTTATATATAGACATATATCCACAACGTGATCTGATTCGGATTAATTAACTATGTAAAGTTCAAACAATGCCTCGAATCATCTCAAAGAAAACCTAAAATGTAGAGTTAAGTGTTGCTGAGATATTAAAGCAGTTACTTATTGCTCTACTTCGTAGTATACTAATACTATATTTATAAGGATGTCTTTCTTGTAAGATAAATTAACAATTAATCCAAATGATCATTGCTTCTTGAACATGGTTTAGATTCGTACTTAATCAACATTAGTTACTAATTTTTTCCACTTGCACATCTGATATCCCAATCCCACAAAACATTAGTACATAAATATTTCAGAACAAAACTAAGCACACAACCATAGCCCTCCGCAAAGTTCACAAAATCCTATATTCCCTTAAAAATGAACTTAAAAACAACAAAGAAATAGAAGGATAAGATTCAAGGCTTGCCAACAATTCTACCATCTGGATTCAACGCGCCACCACTCTGCCTCCCGTCCACCGCCGCTGCAGCGGCAGCAGCAGCCGCCGCAGGATGCTGCATTGGCTGTTGCATAACACCTGCTGGTGCAGTATAATACACCTGTCTCCCTACACTATCATACCCAACTTGTGTATACGTAGGCTCCGCCGGCGCGTGTGGCCGCACCATCCCCATATTTTCAGACGTGTAAGCTCCTACCATCTTCGGCTGTTGAATTGTTGGCTGTGGCGGAACTCCGCCGTACACCGGCTGTTCCCGGTATACCTCCGGCATCACGCGCTGCATGCCGTAATAAGCCTGACCACCCAATTGGTTAGTCACCGGTCGCATCGCCGGAGTTTGATAAACCCCAGCGGGTGTTTGAACTATGTATACAGGTTGCTCAGTTTGAACTGCTGTTGTTTGGTAAGGTCCACTTGTCATATGCCGTTCCGGCCAAAACGTCGCCGGATTTTTCACCGGCACCGTCTGTTGAGGCGGCGGAGGAGGACCCTTTTGCTGATAAAATTCATCAACCTTTCTGTTGTACATAGCTTGTTCGTGGTTCGAAATATGCTGCTGCAACCTGTGCATTTCCTGAATCTGTCTCTGATAATCAGCCGCCGCGGGCGAAATTACAGTATCCCCGATGATATGCCGGTCATCAGAACCAGCATGAAATTCCTTTGCAAAAACCTCCGGCACCGACGGCGGAGGAACCGGATCCTGTAACTTTACCGGCGGAGGTTGTTGAGTTTGTCCTTTCTCTAAACCAAACAAAAAATCAGGAGTACCCGCCGGGGCCGGCACCGGCGAAACAGCCGTCGGTGAATTCACGTCCTGTAACTGAACAGAATTCAAAGCATCAACAAACCACTGACTCTCAGGTTTCGAGTCAGTAGAACCGAAAGTACTTGTCGCCGGTGTATTCATTGGGAACAAAAAAAGCCGGAGTCTAGCCGGTTTAGCTGAAGCGCGATAAAGCCGGTCATATTCAAGCATCATATGTTCCAAATCTTCATCATTAGTTACTGAAATTAAAGCATCAAGATCCTCACCAGGTAACTGATACTTAAAGCAAACGTCACAGTCGGAAATAGATGAAAGTTTGGCAATAAGATTTGAGAATCTGATATTACGATCAACGGAGAGGATTTTGGTTTCACCGCCGACATAGGCGAGTTGGTTATCGTGGGGTCTAGGGTGGATTTTACCGCCATAGCTGCACATGAACTTGACCTTATAGGAAGAAGGTTGATCATCCCATGATGCGTTTTCACAGTCAATTTCACGAGAACGTGGGGATGAATTTACTGAATCTGGGTATGAAGAATAAGAGTAGTTTTCCATTGATTTTGCTATTTTTTGAGAATTTGGGAGGAATTTTTGAGCTACTACAAAGAAATGGAAGAGTTTTGAGGAGCCATAGGAACTTGGAAAAGCAAGGGGAAGGAGCAGAGAAATAGAAGGAGAAGAGGGAGATTTTGACTAGTTCATGTAGGCCCACATATGGGTTTATGTGGGTCCCAAAAAATGCATTTCAGGTGGGTCCGATGGTGGGGACGTTGTAATATTATTTGTTGTTATTGCGTAGTAGGAATAACAACTAACAAGGCAGATAATGGTGATGCGTAGGAGAAATCTTGTGCGTTGTAAATCATTTCATTGAAGAAAAAAATTACTCCTCACGTGAACCTATTTTTTTCGATCCGTTTTAAAAAAATAATCTTTTTAAAATTTAATAATAATTTATCTTAAATTTATAATTCTATTCTTAACGAGAAGCTTTTATAACTACATAAATATTCTGGGTCCCTTTTTGACTTGTTTAAGATTATAAATTCCAAAAGTCTTTATTTTTTCTTAAACTCCGTACTCAGTCAAACAGGTTCACATAAATTGGATCGGAGGGAGTATGAAAAAACAAAAATAATACTCCCTCCGGTTCACAATAAGTGACCAGTTTTCTTTTAGCATGCCCATTAAGAAAATGCTAAACCCTATACAAAGATACATAGTATGACTAAACTACCCTTATTAAATATTGGTCACATAATTATAGGGAGGAGTGAGAAAACTTTTTAGGGATATGCACATAAGGGTAAAAGAGTAAAATTATCTAACTTGACACTTATTTTGAACCAAAATGAAAAAGTAAACTGATCACTTATTGTGAAGGAAAAATTTCATATTAGAACAACTGAGTTCCATACTTTTCAATTTTATAGTTCATATTTCAATTTACAACCAACTAGCCCAAAAATAATAGGCTAAGATTCAATATCCAACTCAAATAGGTTCTCAAAATTACTATTTAATTTTAAAAAAAGATTCCTTAAGCTTTTAAATTAATTTTCGAATCAGTAACTGTGAATCAAATATTAATTCAACAAACCAAATTCATTTGGGTGGTGAAAATTAGATTTTTTAACAAGCTTAAATATTTGGGTTTAAATTTTGAATTTGATTTTGTGAGAAATTTGGAGTGGGTGTTATTTAAACTTGTTAGAAATAGTATAAGGAGGTTGTATATAAAATTTAAAGTCATTTAATGGAGATTTGGACTGGTTTTGAACGAGAATTGCAATTGAAAATCGTGGAAGAAGTTCGTCTACGGATGCTTGTATAAAGGTGTATAAAAGTGTATAATAGTGTATAAGGTGTGTTTCTACACTCATTTACACTATTATATAAGATTATACATAATTATACAAAAAACTGACTTCGTCTTCTTCCTTGCGTCTTTTATGAAATTTAACTCAAATCTTGCTCAAATCTACTCCAAATCACTTCAAATTTAAATTTTGAACTTCTTTTGATATTTTCAATCAATTGGAACAACACCCAATCCAAACAACTAATAAATTCAAAAAAACCCATTTTCAAAAGCAAAGCTTTGAATGGTTTTCAATGGTGGACTTCTACTCTTCAACGTTCTTACATTGCAAGCACGTGACACATGAGGAGAATCAGAAAATACACGGCCCTTGAAGCATATATGTAGAAGATGTGAGAAGAAGAGAGAGTGAAAACAATGGTTGTGAGAATAAAGAATTAACTCCATAGCTTTTAGAAGCAATGGTTGTAAGAACACAGATTTTGAATTTGCAAGTGCTTTCAAAATATGTACAATGTGAGCTAGGTGGGGTAAAACTTAAAAATATGAATCATTTTTTGTTATGGTGTGAAGTCATATGTATTTTCTTGTAATTCTTTCTGCTGTGAAGCGGAGGGAGTTATATTCATGTATATACTATGATCTACTCACCCTATTCGATACAAATAAATAAGAAAAATTCGCTTAATATTTTGTTGTTAGATTTGAACTTGGGTTTCTAATGTGTTGCTCTAACAAACGTTGGCCACCGTTTGAACTTGTACAGAAGAGAATATCGCAAGTAAAGTTTGTCTTAGGTTTCAATATAAAAACACTAATTTTAGGACAATTTGGATTTTTTTTTTGAAAAGTTTATATCAACACAGAATTAAATAATTAATTTAAGTTGGATTTTAGTAGCGTCCAGCAAAAATGAGCAGCGGGGGAGAAAATTAACTAAACAAATGGATAAAATAGAGTAATGGAGCAGCACGGGTGGGTGAACAATGGTGACGCAGCATCAAATATATGGGACAGTTGTCCTTTTTCTGTACATATTTTTGGTTTTTGTGGATTGGATTTATACAGGATAAATTTATTATGCTTTTTAAAATACTATAGAAAAATGAAAAGATAATTTAAAATTTTTTATATTGATGATGATGGTAGTGACTCGTGCCATATTGGATGCACTTATGCAATATATTTCTTGTTTTCATGGTGGGGTCTGCGGCAGTGGCTTCTTATGCATATCCCAGTGTTTCAATTGTGAGACTAATTATGAAGGCCTTCCTCTCTTTTCCTAATCAATATTTATCTGAAGGGAGCTTGGAGCAATAATATATTAAAGTTGTGTACCTATGATTTATAGGTCTCGAATTTGAGCAGTGAAATCAAATATTAATACGTATGTTAAGGTAGACTACATCACACCTTAAGAATGCGACTCTTCCTTAAATCTTGGATAAATACGATATGCTACGTGTAATGAAGTAACTGGGTATAAAAGTTTTACACAAGTAATGTTACTAACAAACTTTTTTAGTTAAGAATTCATGTTTAATAGTAGTAATATGATTTGAACTAATTATATGGGCTCACAACAACAATAACTATGTTTAAGAAGTTAACAAGTTGAGAATGGCTATAGCCTATATGAATTCTTACGGACCATGTTACTTATTTAAAAATCATTTTAGGCCAACATAGATATTCTCAATATTTTTCTATATAAAAATCCTTTATATTTGCTATTGGCATTAGAATTTCTAATAGGACTAGAAGAAGCATAGCAAGTGTCACACCTCCTTTTTTACTCGTCCGAGGGGATATAAGTGAGTTTTTTCAATTTAAGTAACATTATTCGAAATGAGATTATTATTTATTTATTTTTCAAAGTCGCCACTTGGAATAGTTTATTTGGTGTCCCAAGTAACCGGTTTATCTTAAATCCCAAATCAAGGAAATTTTGACTTTATTTAAAAGTCTGCGAACCAGAAATTCTAAATAAGGAATTCTGTTAATCCGGGAGAAGGTGTTAGGCATTCCCAGATTCCGTGGTTCTAGCACGGTCGCTAAAACTATTAATAATTGGCCTAATTATCTGATTTATTACGTGTTTAAAGCCTATTGTGCATTTTTAACTTTCTAATCGCTTTTAATTATTTATTGCTTTAAAGATTTATGGAATTATTTCTTGAATAAGTTACGATGTCGTACACTTATCGTTTTGGTACACATTGCAAATTGCACCACGTGAAATGCACCCGCAATTTACAATATGTTTATTATTATCATTTGAAGTTGAGGTCAAGTCGCGTGAAACGCGCATTTGAATTGGGATTTACGCATCATGACTATGCCACGAGAACCGTACCCATAGTCACGCTGGTTCATTATTAATCGCGCCTAAAGTATTTTAGGATGTTCATGAATTATTTCCTACTACATTTGAGATCAATGCAATATCATGAATTAGGGAATGAAATTAATTGTGGAAGAAATTTATGATTTTAGCTATTATGAATCTATTCAAAAAGATAATTACCCATTAACGTCACATCCCAACAATTTATGCCTACGTCTTCTACTAACTAACAGAGGCTGAGCTAGCCTACAGTGTGCGGGTTCGGCGGAACCCAGTCACCTTTGCTTAAACGTTCTATTTATATTAGGAAATTCATGAAATATGTATAAATATTTAATTGTGAACCCAGTAACTAAGACACACTATGTGTTTTGTGGAAAATTTAGAACCCATAAACTTTAAATTCTGGCTTCGTCTCTGCTAACTAATGCGACTAGTAAGAGGATGAAACATATATATATATAAATAAATAAACTCCAAACTTTTAATTTCTGCCAAACAGATTAGTTCTCCACTTAAAAAGCCAAATAGCCCAGAATCTTTACTAAATGCAAATCTCTTAACAATAAAATATTATTGGTTTAAATTTAACCACTTATTCTAATGAAATCAACTAGCAAAGAAAGATCTACCATAACAAATAAATATATTCAAAATACATCAAATCTAATTAATGTCCAAAACAATAAGCAATTGAAGTAAAATGAGGGCATGGCCAAACAAATACGCACTCAACAAAAAATGAATCCATTATATTCAAAATTGAAAGATAGCGAAAACGGCAAAAGATTAGAAATGAACCTCAAGGTCATGTTACTTTAAACTTTGATTATTTTTCAATATTGAAGTAAAAAATAAGGCAGGATCTGCGGACAAATATGAGCGAAAAACCTCGCTGGAAAATCGATCAAAAACCTCAATTGTTTCTTGACCCAAAAACACTGCTATTTTATGAGGAAAAGGGGGTTGTTTTCGAGCTACTTGATGGTTTTTTTAGCTCATTTTTGGGATGGAATTGGAACTCTTTTCGCTGGTTTTCATGGCGGTTCAGAGTTTGTTAATGGACTGTTTTTGTGCAGATTTTAAGGGCTACTTTTGGGGCTCGTTTTGGACTATTTTGTGCAGATTTTTGGGGCTCGTTTTGGTGGATTTGAGGAGGGTCTATGGCTGAAATGTTTTGCTAATTTTCGCCCCCTTTTGTGTGTGTGTCGTGTGTTATAAGTAGAGATTATATGATGGAAGAGTGAAGAATATAGGTGGGGAACATAAGTGGAGAGAGTGAGGGAAGTGGGTAGTAAGTGGAGAAAGTGGGGGAAGTGGGAAGTGAGTGTTAAAAGTGAGAATAAATTCAAACATGATCAAAAATTAGGTGATCACAACAAGTATAAGACCTAAAGTATCCATATTAACATGACTAAAATATATTTCTTTCTAATGGTATTACCTATATAAATCTTTTTCTTTCATTGTCTTATTTTTTGCTAAATTTGCATTGATTTCAAGAGATTATA